CGCGGTGTACCGCCGTCGGGTAGCGTTGGTTCCTCGCGGTGCGTTTTCCCTTTCTGTCGGAAAACCAGTAGGAAGTACTAGTGGGATCATGCAGGCAACGTTTCATGGTGTGTGTTTTACGTGGCAATGTTTCCTTTTTGTTTGTTTTTCTTTTAGCAGATGGCAGGTGGAGACCAGAAACGGATAATCCAATTAACTGGATTTAAAAAAGAAGAGAAAAAGGCACTACTCAAATGGCTGTTCAAACTGGACTGTGTTTTTTTAGATAATAAGGTATTGTTCCTTTAAAGTACCTGATGGTTAATGCAGAAAGGAATAGTGTAAGCTTTGAAATAAAGGACTGCGTGGTAGTTTAGAGCTGTCTGTAAACAGCCAAGGAAGTTGAAATTTCGTTTCCAGTGATACAAGTGTGTTGTTTTGTCTTTGTTTTATTAGAAATACAGAAATTGTACACATCTTATAGCAAAAAAGCTGTGCAAGAGTGAAAAGTTCTTAGCTGCCTGTGCTGCTGGTGAGTAAAAGGTTTGCTGTAAAATTTCGAGGGATCATAACACAGGACTGGAAAGGACCCTTAAAAGCTTCCTAGTTTCCTGTTTTCATTTCGTGAATGAACTGTCTTACAAACTCTCATTCTTCTTGTTCCATTAACCTTGATTTTTAATATAATGTTATGTTCAAGTTCTGATTTACTTCTTTTCGTTTCGGATTTTTTCCTGAATGATGTTCCTGCCAACTTCCTTTGTTTGATCTGCATCTGTTCCCAAACAGAAAGCTTCGTTATATATTAGTTAGATGGTGAAGTCATACCCACATGATATGGGTGCTTAAAAATGGATCACGTGAAAAGGGGGCAGAGGGAGTGTGGACATCTGTAGTCAGCAGGGGTTTTTGACACCATGTTCACTGGTAAATGTTGCTGTCTGTAAGTTCCGGTTTGTGCAGGAAGAGAAAATTCCAAGCATTTGTCATTCTGACACAAGCCTCTGGTGTTTCCTCTTGCTTTTCTTTTGGCTAAGGCCTCATGCTGAAATCCCATACATAAGCAACTAAAATACTTTTCTAATGATGATTCTGTATTTTAAGATTTCTTTATAGACAGGTTGCCTGCAAAGATTTTATGATAAGTTCAAAAAATCTTGTGGAGTTATGAGTTTTCACTATAGTGATCTATTAACTGGATAAATGTGATCATTGTGTCGTTTTAAACCAAAATATTAAAGCAATTTTTTATGATGGATAATCTTAAGTTTAAGAGATAACAGACAGAAATAACTGAACGTAGATTTGGATTTAAAGATCTAAGTAAGTTTCTTGATTTCATGTTTGTACTTATGTACCACGTTAGCATGCATTTTCAATTATCTGTCACTGCTAGAATTTAAGAGGGTGTGTTTGTGTGTTTTTTTATATATATATATGTATATATATGGATGATTCCTTTTACTAATGTGAAATTCTGATCACACTCTAATCAAAAAGGAAATAGACTAAAAGTTTCCGTGAGAGAAACAATATTAAAATGCAGATAGATCTATGGCATAACACTTCATTTTAACTATTATAAATCTTTGAGTTAATGTTTTCTTCATTTATGGATTTAAAAGATCTAGAGATGTTTTCTTGAACTGAATGGAAATTATATATGTAGTGTCTGCATGGCAATGGAAAACTGTGTCATGTTTCTGTACTTGCAAGTCATCCCCAGTACCATCCAGTACTTTTTAATCCTGTAAGAGATGCTGTTTTTGTGTAATTATTGCTCTCACCCTTGATGGCAGAGAGCGTTTCTTCATTCTTACTGCAGTTTTTCCCCAAGTAAGTGTAAAAAGGCGATGTTTAAACCCATCTGGAACTCCCTAGAGGTGAACAGAAATGACAACAAGGATGCCAGTCTTCATGGACTTCCTGGCTGACTACTTCTGAGATGGAAACTTTGAAATGAAAGTGATTTTAACGTATAGGTTGTGCACAGCATACCTTTTCCAGTCCTAAGTCTGCTGATACCTATGCTAGGTTATGTAGAAGTACCATCTGTGCTCCTGCACTGAGACATTTTGCCAGTCAACCCTGCTGTTCTGTGAAACCAATTAGGTTCACACAATTTGAGTCAGTTTCTCTTACAGTATCTTCTGTAGGTAGTGTTTCAATACGGGAGCAGGGTACTAACCACGGCTCTTGACCTGAACCTGTAAGAAGAGAGAGACAGAGAGAAAGGGGAAGATCATTACATACAGTATCAAAAGCATACATACGGAAGATGAAAGGGGAGAGGCGGAGGAGGTGGAGCCAAGGGATGAGAGAAAAGGATGTGAAAAGAAAAAAGGGGACAGACGAAAGTCGAAAACCGTATCCCCCTAATGCCGATACTCACTACACTCGCAGTGCAAGTAATATTAAGAATATATAAAAGAAACAGCTTACATGTGAAAACTTTCATTCCTCTTGTTAATCGTTGATGGTAAAATATTTCTTCAGTTTGCCACATTTTAGTACATTTGTGAAAGTGCCAAACGATATTAAAAATAAAGGGTTAAGCAATGTTCTGTGGAAGTCATAAGAACAAAATCTGGGAAGCTGAAAAACTCTCTTTGCAGATTTTTGAGGAGATAGATGAGTGTTTTATCTAGGAAGGGTAAAAAGGTACTTCATCATTAAAAGAAAGCAAAACGATCATTTTCAGTAGCATTGTGAGATTTCTGATTTTAAAGCGTGAAGAGGAGAACTCTTGTAGTAGGAAGAAGTTTTTAAAATGGTACTTACAATTGCAGCTTTTATTTGCACAAGAAAGGTTGAAGTTAATTTTATATTAGATCTTCAGTTGATTGCCATTTGTCTGCACAAAAAAATCTTTTGTGGTTGACAGTTCATTTGCTTTTTAGGAAAGTGGATACTAACTAAGGAGTACATAATTAATAGTGCCGAAAGTGGCAGATGGCTTGATGAAACAACGTACGAATGGGGATACGAAATTGAAAAAGACACCCATTATTCACCTCAAATGCAATCTGCACCTAAAAGATGGCGCAAAGAACTGACACGCTCTGGTGCTCGAGGGGCCTTCCACAGATGGAAAGTTGTCCTCCCTGTTAACGAAGGTGATAAACGAATGACGTCTATTAGAAGGTAGGAGGATATGTCTTAAAGCTTAAATAATGAATGATGGGTCACGTTTTTGTTCTTCTGTCCTACTGAGTTTGGTAGCTCTTCAAACTCTGAATTGTTTTCATTAATATACTTCCATTCTTTTTATAATAAAATTACTTTAAATCTTTAACATCAGTGCTTTTCTTGCTTTCTTTTCCTATAGTGTGAAAAATAACAGGCATTCTTATGTTTGCATCTTAAGTAAACTGCTTACAGAAACTTTCTTCATGAGGCAAGATACATAGGCGCCCGTTTTTCATGCGTAATCGTTTGCTTTGCGTGGATGTTACATTCAAATGGTAGCTGCAACGGGATATGTTACTTCACTTGGGTGGGTGACCTGAGCCAGCTATGAACTGTGTCTTAAGAGTCTGGGCCACACTGTGACTGACCTGATCGTTTTTTGTGTCACATCTACGCGACAGCTTCTTGTAGCTCTGAAGACCTAATTTGTACTGTAACAGATGTTTCTGATATGATGTAAATACAGATAGTTCAGCAGAGAAAAGACAAAAGTATAAAGGGAAAGCAGAAAAAGGAAAAGAGCTGAAGTGCAAGAATTCTGGGACTACTTTTCTCAGACATACACCCCGCCCTGTTCCTACATGTTTGGATTCCATGATTTAAATACTACATTGAATTGCAAACACAGCATATTAAGTAATGTTTGCTTCTGATACAGTAAAAGGAAACATCCCCTGACACTGTTGTAGAGCTTTGCCTTCCTCACAGGAGCAGTTGACGGTCCCACTCTCCTCCTCTGTTGAGATCCCAGTTAGTTAGGAGTAGTTCTGAGGTCTGGATGTGCCACAGATGCACAGCCAAACAGGGAAGTGCAGTTTGTCTGATTGATCATGGTACAGGGCCGCATGCTGCATTGCAGAATGCCTGTCTGTCTGCAGTTCATAAAGTGAGGTGTAGATGAAGTTGCCGTCTTCTCATGTTGTCAGCTGAAGACAGTGTAAGTATGCTATTTTCTTGGCTGAGTGGAATAGTTTACTATGTGCTGTCTTGCAGAAAGATGCACTCATCCTGCTATGTTTGTGAAGAATGCTGTTTCTTTTTCCGTAAAAAATGCTTTTGCAGATCTTCATGATAACACTACTGAAATGCTGTTTTCCACAACTCTCTGTTTGCAATAGAAATAGCCTTTAACAACAACTACATCAGCAAGACAGGTGAACAGGCAGTTTTGTGAAAGGAATCTCTTTTTCTGTGCTGTTTCCCATACACCAACATGGGGATCCTTTCACTTGGTCAGAAGCCACTGACAGGTAGATACGGTCTCCAGCAAGTACTGTCTTCAGTGTAAAGGCCACTGTAGCTTTGGGGAGGGATTGATTTTTCTGCAATGTTTACAACACTGTGCCTTTTTTTCCTGTTGTGTGCGTTTCCTGCCTTTAGTGCCTAGCTGTTGGATGTGTAAGTGTGCGAGACCAGCATCCTTTTCTTTTTACATTCCTGGATTTTGAAAAGTAAAACATGTATCCAGCATTTCAAGAGACCCTATTTCTTCTACCATTTTTTTTTTAATGTGGCGTCTTTGTTAAAAGATAGAAACAATTCTGGTAATTACACTTCATGAAACTCTTACATGTAATGGTATCACAAAGACAAACAAATCTGTTTTCTGTGTTTGATATTGGACAGCACCAAATGCAGTAAATGACTCCAAAATGAAGTCAAAAAGCGGATTTGCATTATGAAATACCATGTTAAGAGTTCAGAAAAGCAGTTCCATTTTTGGTACACCAGTTAATTTATTGTAAAACTTAATTGAAAGACCATCATCATTGTGGGGGACATAATGCAATAAATTATAGCTGCTGTCAGCAAATTTGATCTTTGAAAGCGTGTACAGGTAGAGCTTTCTATCAGATATGTAAGAGGTGTACATTGAGTTTAATTAATAGCGTTAAATTGTGAAGAGAAGGATGTCATTAAGTGGGTTCTTTCCTCTTTTGAAGGCTATTAAGCACCCTTTTATCTTCCTAATGAAGGTTAGGCGGTGTCATATGTCTAGAAGCCTTATTCACTTGCGCTTGCATGCTTGCAGTTTGTGAATGGTAATGTAGCTTTCAGCAGTGTTAACATAATGCATCTTTCTAAATATGTTTATTTAGAGTTCTTCAAGCTGGAAAGGCAACCTTGTGTTCATCTCAAAATGTAGAGCGCAATGTAACTCATATATTCATCAATAGTACATTTTTTCCTATGCAAAACAAAAAATGTCTGTCTGACGCTCAGTACTACCCTTTGCAATATATAGGAGATTACCTTCTCGAGGTAAGTAAATTAAAAACATGTCTAAAATTAGTTTTTTCGTTGTCATTGTTACTAATTTACATCAAGTTTACTGATTACTTAATAATAGAGGGGAATATGATCGGCTTAAATATTTTGTAATTTAATTAATACTTTCTGATTCTGAGACTATTTATCCAAGAGAAGAGAAGGCTCATGAGTATACATAATAATGACCTGAAGGGAGGGTGCAGAGAGGATGGAGCCAGAGTATTTTTCAGTGGTGCCCTGTGACAGGACAAGAGGCAGCGGGCACAAACTGAAGCACAGGAGGTTCTGTCTGAAGGTCATGAAACACTTTGTTGTTGTTGTTGTTTGTTTTTTTTTTTTACTGTGAGGGTGGTGGAGCACTGGAACAGGTTGCCAGAAGAGGCCATAGAGACTCCATCCTTGGAGATATCTAAAAGCCATCCAGGCATGTTCCTGGGCAGCGGACTGCAGGTGGCCCTCCTTGGTCTAGGGATTTGGACCAGATGTCTTCCAGACATCCCTTCCAACTTCAACCATTCTGCAATTCTGTAATAGAAGAATTGTCTTCCAAAAGTGGTCTTTTGTTTCAGACCAGAAGAAATAACACCAAGGAAGCATACATTATTTCTTCTTCCTCTTCATGTTCTTCCTTGGCTCCTGCTTTGTGCTACTATTACTGGAAAAATTAATTAGACTTCAGGAGGAAATTCCAGTGTAGGTGACCATCAACTAAACAGTTATTCACAAAATACCAAGAAAAAAAATACTATTTTTCATTTATATTATTTTTATTTGGTAAGGATTTGGAATGTGCGTATGTATCTATCTGTCTACCTATGTATGTGAATATATGTATTTTTCGCTGGGTTTGGCATACACCGTTAAGCTGTAGGTAATGGTATCTTCATGCTTCAAGACCAACGTAACAACTTCTTTTGTCAACTGACCTCAATTACTACCTTTTTTCCCACATTATAGATTTACTATGGTAAAGTAGTCTGTAGATTATTTTGTTAAAATTCTTAACTCAAAATCAGTTTGTTAGCTGTCCTTCATGGCTGGCAAGAACTCGTGGTTGCAATGGGAATTTTGTAAGGAGACTGTATGGTAGGGAGAGGAAACTCACTCAGGCTATTTCTGTGCTAAGATTCTAATAAAAGCTAGTCACCTATATTCCCTTTTCAGTCAACGCACTGAGCCTGATGCTGCAAGAATTGTAATTTCCTAAAATAGTTGTATGAACTGCTTTCTGACCATACCTTTAACTCTCCGTTACTGTAGAAAGATCATTCTGTACTTCCAGACAAAATTAAACAAAATGAATTTAAACTGAAGGATTCTGTAAGCACCCAGTAACTCTATGAGAATAGATTAGCACGCCAAGAGAAGAATGTCTCATATCCCGAAAGTTTATATACTGTAATGCTTCTCCATTTGCAGAGTCAGGGAGGTACTGACTCCATCATCCATGGAGTCAGAAGGGACGTTGGTGTTTCAGAAAATGTTATAGTCCTTACAACTCAAATCACATGTGCTCACTTGTGCAAAAACTGGATTCAACTTTGTCTTTTTCCATGTTAGAAAACCTGTTGCCATTCACGACAAAACTTCTTTCTCTTTTACTAGTCAGAAGTGTTAAATTCTTGAGAATGCAAGTTCTGTATTTCTTGGTTGGTAGAAGAGGATTCTCCAAAGTCTCTGTAATAGCTTTCTTCTGTTAACTACGCTAGAACATAAGACAGTACATCATCAGATCCACTAAGACATGAGGATCTGGATGGACCTTATTTGAAGAGAGAAGTCATGCTTGAGGTCATCATTCCAGAAAGATGAGAGTTTTTTGTTGGAGTGGCTAAGCCAGATAAGGCATCCAGTGCAATATCAAATGGTTCAGAGTGTTAGGTTCATTCAGCTGCAAAATTGGATTAGGAGTTAAATTTAGAGTGATGCAAAAGATAAGGCAGAGCAAGAAAAGCAGCTTGGTTTTCTTTCATCTTTCCATCTGCTCCATGAGAGGACATGTCACTCTTCAGTGACTTTTCTTGTATGTGTGGAATTCACTAGAACTAGGATTTTTTCTTACTATTTCCCAAGAGAGAGAGATATGCCTCATGATTCATAGTCATTTGCTTACCAGATGCACTATTCAGAACTTCTTAGCATTTTGACCTGGAACTGCCCAAAGTACTCAGAAGATTGTTTTAGTCTGGTGGTTCCTCAGACTGCGGGATGATTTTTAGTCAACTGCTGATTGAAAATACTACCTTTGCAAGCCAGTAGGAGCTAAAACTGTTTGTTGCTAGGAATAACCTACTTAATTTGAAAATTCTTTGGGTTCTTCAGACCAAAGCATATACTTTGCTCTTCCTGTTTTAATGAGCAGTAAAGCTGTTACAAAAGGGTGAGAAGAGGTTTGAACAGTCCTAATGTTTACACCCTGAATAAAACACACATCAACAGAGGATCTCAGTCTAGTGCTTACTCTCTTAATGAAACTTGTTCAGGGAAACTTCTCTGCTACACCTTTCAGCTACGATAGACATTTACGTTTAACAGAGGAATGAGCGTCAAGTTTTTATGGTTACCTCACCTTTTGTTGATCTCTGTAAGAGTAAAGTATTTCTTGCTGCGCACCCTGAATTCCTCCCAGGTGTGATAACAGGTTTCCATCTTAACCAGTCCATTAACTTGCACGTATTTTTTTTTTTTTCTTGGATTTCATTAAAGTAACTCACCTCAGAGGCCACGAGAGCATTAGCTTTCTATTTAAATGCATCTAAAGAACTCAGAAAGCTGCCAAGGCTCCTAGTCTCTTAAAAGGAAAAGAATAAAACATAGACAATCAAATCGCAACACTTGTCCAAATGTATTAGGCTTTATCAGAGAATGTTATGGACATGCTCCTCTCTCTCTCTCTCTCAAAAGCGCTTGGCATGTAGTTCCAACTTTGTAAATTTGTAGTCCTGCTATTTGACTGCTACTTCTAGAAAAAAAAAAACTCCCTTCCTCCCTGAAATATCCACATATATGTCCAGATGCTTAATTCAGCAAAACAGTGTTTTCATTTTTTTCAGTGGAACTGCACTGATGTTCAGGCTATTCATTCTGTGGGGTTTTTTTTTTGAACCAAGTCTTTGCTGCATCTTTATATTTCATTATCTGTTCTTGTAATCACAGCCTCATAACTCTAGTGTTAAAATACTCTGGGATTGTCGTTAATAATTTGATCCTACAAGGTGTCAAATTTATTGGCTCAAGATGCTAAAGGACATGCATGATTTTAGGGAGCTAGTCTCATACTTTTCATTTAAACAGAGACTTTAAATGCTTTGTTGGATGCATGCTGGATTTCATAAAATTTTGCCAAGACTACTACAAATTGTTCGAATATAAGTATTTTTATAACCATGTTTAAAATAATGTGCAGAAAGTGCCACAAGAAGTAAAAAGTCGTTAATGCATCAAAGTTCAGTTATCCCTGGCTCATCAAAAACTACTTCAGAGCTCTTTTCAAGTTATCAAAAATACTTGACTCTCTAATGTGATGTGCAACAAACTCAGTTTTTGTTTAGAAACACAGTTGTGCACAAGCCAAATACTTTTGGTTTGAATTATACATTTAAGGGAAAATCTGAGCACTGGATGAAACACATGCAGTGTTTGAAACTTTGTCTTTAAAACCCAGTAGTATAAACTGTTCACAGCTTATGGTTGCATGCACTAGTATGTGTGGTTTTTGGCCTACTATTACTTCCCAAATTTCCTGTGCTTGATTAGCCCATTAGATTTAGGTGTTTGAATTAGAAGGCAAGCTATCCTAGGCCTTCCGCACCTGCTCCCCATAAAAAAAAGGCCGTCAGCACTGCAACCGAGGGGAACACTTCACCTGTATCTATGTTCTTAACTCGTGGCACTGCAGGAGGAAGCTGGTTTTGCAGTTGCACGTGTATTTGCCTAAATCAAAGACGATGTTTTATTCTTAGTCTGTGTATCTTTGATGAAAAGCCTACACTGAAACTCTTACTGAAATGTATTGTTCTTGTATCCTGAAATAACTTTTAAATATTTTTGTAGTTATTTTTTACTAACAGAAATAATCTTGTGGCTTCGCTGGTAGTCTTTTCAGAGTGAGCTGGAAACCAGCTTAAGAAATAACTTCGTCATTGCCTGTGCTGAAGAAATAGCTGGAAACACTAGGTGGACTTGGAGAATAAATTACTGAAAGAAGAGAACTTTTGATTTTTAAATTAGTAGTTTAGTTCAGGCTTATAGACAAGAACTGAAAAGATTTCATTGTAGTGGCCTTTTTAAAATGGATGCATGGTCATAGCCAAATTGATGAAAAAATGTCTTAAAAAATCCTTATCACATTTTTGACTAGTTGAAAAGGTGCGAGCTTTGTTTTTAGTTTTTGAAAAGTCCAAAGAGAGAATCCATTATGGAAACACAGCTCTTGTTTCAGCCACAGGGATTGGGTCAGAGTTACAGTCAGTTAGGAAATGTAATTGTGGGGCAGTTTACATAGATAATTCCTATGCTATAGCTTCCTACAACGTCAGTAGTTTGTTTCCAAAGCCCTAGCTTTTTATCTGGCACTTAAAGTAGACCTGTGAACAATTCCATAAGCATGTGTATGCACACAAGGGTTTACAATAGAATGTGTGTACAGACTTAGCACATAAAAGCTGGTTCAGAGCCTTAGCTTTGAAACTAAAAAAAACTGATATTAATTTGCTCTGCACAGAATGAAGTACAAAATACTGAAGATATCCAAATGAACTGTTTCCTGGATGCACAAGAAACAGACCAAATCATGTCTAACACGCAGCTTGCTGAAGTCAAAAATGCTGTTATAAAACATATGTTTTTTGCTGCGGTAAGTAACAATCAGCATTTTTAGCATAAAATGTATGTGATTAAATTTATCTTTCAATACTGAGCTAATAAAGTAGATATTTTTAACATCTTTTGAAATAGCAATAATGCCTTTTAACCTGCAATGTTTAATAATCCTGTATTTACAATATCGACCTTTAGCTAAAATATAATTTAGTAGTGGTAATTGGTAGGCATGGGTGTGTGGAAGACATGGTGGACTACTTGGAATCTTAGTGTCATATGTGAGACAAGTAGTAGCTAATATTGTTCAACAAAATGTCATCGGACTACAGTCTTTTTATGGCTTTCCTGTTATCTAGCTGAATTACACTAACACATTTTTAAAACTAACCATACCCTAGAGCAAGTATTTTGTTAATTCATATGAATGTTTTTTATTACAATTAAAAAATAATGCTAAATGCACTCCTTTGTTTTTACGTTGTCACATATCCAATCCTGATAAAAATGCTACATTAGCAATTAAAAACATTATGTCGTATCTAGAAAAAACAATTACTTTGATTTAGGATATATTATCTCTGTAAGTTACAGTGATGCAGATGATGGTGTGCAAGTATTTTTGTAGAAGCTTGCTTATATGAAGCACTGTACGATTTTGTAACTGCAAAATCAGGTCCTCTATGTATATTAATACAAGTTCTTAGTAGCAAAAGAATTAGATTTTTTAAATCCTCAATGTACACAGTGTTTAAACACGAGATTAACAAATAGACGACTCATGCTGCTTAAATCTATACACCTTCAAATGCTACATCTTTTATCAGTGACATTTTATCAAGACTTTACCCTCCAGACCTTTAAAAAATAAACGCCTTTGACTTTTCTTGTATGCTGCACACAACAAGTACGCTTCTTATCAAATTATCTTTTCCTCAAACTATTAGGGAGTTATGCGCAGATATAGTAATCATAATCATAAAGACAATCTCTCCTAAAAGACTTTTTTGGTAACATGTATTAGTAAGATTGTAACACTAGGCCATAACTAAATATAGCAATAATAGTAATACATTTTTGCATCTACTACCATATCTTCACTTTACAGGTAACTTGAAAGAGGAATCCAAATTTTGCATTGTGCCATAGAAAAACTGAAAACACTTAATATTTTTTAATGTGGTTAAGTAGACCAAATCTAGTAAAACTGTCCTTACATAGCAACCACATAAACAAGAATCAGAGAATAACAAGAAAAACGGGGAGAAAAATTGCCCGTATTAGTTTCCTTTTAGATCACTTGTCCTCTATTTCATAATTTTGCTATTCAGATATTAAAAACATAAATATAAATAGATTGCTATGTTGAATGTTTTACTTGAACTGTGTTTAACAAAAGTTGCCATTTTGGGGGGTTTATGCAGTATATATTGAATATTCTTATTGATATCCAGCATGCAGGTTGATTTTTTTTTTTCCTTTTTTACAGGCTGTTAAGCACAGATTTGCTCAAAAAGACCAACTGAATAAACGCAATCCAGAGGTAAGGAGTCTCACAAAAAGGGCGTGTTGCGTATATGGAATATATACCTGCAGTGCTTCACGAGAAACTGCTAGATCCTCATCAGCCAGAACGTGAGCCAGTGCAGCTTTGTACAGCTTATTGAATATTAAGGCCCTACAATAGCTATCTCCTGATATTAAACAGATCATCAACTCAGTTTTCTATCATTCTCCGTTACTCCTCACAAGTAAGCCGAAAACCAGTTATTTCCTTCTTATCATTAATGTAATGCAAAAGGCCTCACACCCTCCTAAAACAGCTTTTTTTTCAGTGTACTTTCCAAATAATGCATTGATGTTACTGTTTCTTCTAGTACCAGAATTTTCAAGAGATGCAAGTTTCAGTCACAGTGTAAAAAGGCGATGCTGGTAGGATCACCAGGTGAGGGCCAGTAGAACAGGATTGTACATGCACAATATACTGGGTCATCTTCACACATCTTAAATCCAAGCAACAGAAAAGTTGTTCTTTGACTGCCATTAAACAGTTCATGATTGCTCTTTAGGTGTGCTGTTGCATATAATTAACATCACGAAAGTATGAATGCAACCATTATTTCCAAAAGAATGTGAAGATTTTAATAGTGCATGTATGAATGAGAAAATTGAAATAAACGTGAGTTGCAAAGGCCAGATGCACAAAGACTTGATTAAAAGAAAATTGTCTAGATGAGCAGCTTTATTTATTGTTAATATAACAACGGCAGATATTAGGAATCTGAGAAATTAAACATTTGCAGAGGAACTAAATATCTAGTGTTAAGGTGGAGCTCATTCACTGAGACTTTAGCTGTGATTTAACTACAATTGTAATTTCTTTCAAAAGTTTTTCCAGGTTTGACCTGAGGTCCTAATGATCTTAGTTTATTACTGAAACATTTTTTGCAACTATCTTGCTTTGTGGTGCTAGAGCATGTCCAAAGGAAGGGCAACGAAACTGGTGAAGAATCTAGAGCACAAGCCACAAGGAGTGGCTGAGGGAACTGGGGTTGTTCAGCCTGGAGAAAAGGAGGTTCAGGGGAGACCTCACTCTCTACAACTGCCTGAAAGGAGGTTGTAGCGAGGTGCAGGTCGGTCTCTTCTCCTGAGTAACAAGCAATAGGAGAAGAGGAAACGGCCTCAAGTTGCACCAGGGGAGATTTAGATTGGATATTAGGGCAAATTTTTTCACAGAAAGGGTTGTCGAGCACTGGAACAGGCTGCCCAGGGAAGTGGTAGAGTCACCACCATGTAGATGTGGTGCTTAGGGTCATGGTTTAGTGGTGGACTTGGCAGTGTTACATGAGCAGTTGGGCTTGGTGATCTGAAGGGTCTTTTCCATCCTAAATGACACTATGATTCTGTGATTGTAATAGCAGTGTACTCCATCAACCTCAAAACCACGATTGGACTCAAAGCCTACATGAATTTAAATTTTAAACTAATTTTAAAACAATTAATAGGATGTCTTGAGTGGCTTTAATGTACATTAGAAGCCAGTTTTTTTGGCAGAGACTGTAAAGTCTACAAGTTGTTAGGGACTAAAATGGTAATAATAAATCTATGTAATTGTTTCATTCCTGGCAGTCCAATCAGTGGTCTTTCTGACTCACAGAATCACGGAATGTTAGGGATTGGAAGGGACCTCTAAGGATCATCTAGTCCAATCCCCCTGCCAGAGCAGGACCACCTAGATCAGATCAAGAAGGATCTCTCCTTCTTTTAGTTGTGACTCCCTGTCCCAGTTTGTTTGAATTTACCCGAGCCTCAGGCTGTGTGGTGTAACAAAAGAGCTGGATTTCAAAACAGAAGTTATCACAGGCAGAGGGAAGCTGTGCTTTAGTTATCAGCATGGTTGCAACTGGTTTGTGCATCTTAGCTTTGGCTTGAACCTGGACTAGAGGAAAGATGCAACTAGCAATATAGCTGAGATCTTCAATAGTTCTTCATTTGTATCATTAATCTGTGGCAATAAAGGTTTGGAAAGCTGAGAGTACAGACAATAACAGGGAAATTGCAGGGAAGATACAGCATTTCATGAAAGCCATTAGATCCTTCTGGGTCCTCTGAAAGCTTGCAGAGTTAAGTGTTTTGCTGTCTTGAGTGGCAGAGAATAAGAAGGAAGCCCTGTGCCATTAAGAAGATCTTCAGAGCTTTGAAATCCACTGGGATCAATATCTGTGCTATCTGTAGCATTAGCTGCTTCTCTGACATGCTATATGGGAATAGGAGAACTAGGGAGATAAAACAGTTACATGGTTCATAGTTTTGTAATGTGTAATTGTAAATGATGTATTTCATGATTTTACATTTTTCTCTAATTTTTTTAGCTGTTCAGTGGACTAATTATGTTACTCCTCCAGTCATATACTCTGGGATGTACTCTGCACTCTAGGAAATACTACAACTCCTTTGTGTACCTTTCTAGAATAAATTATAGACAAGTTATTGGGTGTGTGAATTGTAATTTGTTTTTTAAAAAGGTAGGTTTCAGATCTTCTGAGAAGAGAAGCACATTCTGAAACCTACTGTCTTTTCAGTGAAAGCCCAGTGCAGTAAGAGTGAAGGCCTTTCTAGATGGCAGCAGCTTACTGGATCAGGCAATAAGTAATATTTCTGGTTTGATTTATAATCTTCCTGTTTTATTGTATTACTAACATTTTACTTAGAGATTTGTGGTCAGTTCTTCAAAGTTTTTTTCATTAAGCTGTTCTTTTCCTTACCAAGATGTCTCGTTCCTAGGTTAAAAATACTGCCCTGCCCAGGGGCACATGGTATATACTTGAAGGATTAGTGGAAGAGTATTTATTTCCTGATGTAATCACAGAACTTGCTGCTGGTCAAAAGTACTCTACACCTCCTGTGGAACTTCTTCATTCTCTTCTAGAATGTGTCCTATTGGTGAGAGATGAAGACTAAAGTATTATAAATGTTAAAGCAAGAAATCGAAGTATTGTGATCTTTGCTTCTGACACTGTATTTCGTGGGTTTTAGTGATGTATTCACCTTTCACTGTGTTCATCAATGTGTTTGTGTTAAAAAGGGAACAATTTACTACTTAAGGATTTTTTTTGAATTATTATTTACAAGCCTGCGTATTATTTACAACACCACATATGAATATAGTGTTCTAAATATGATAGAAGAATTGGCCCAGAATTTTTTTTTTATCACTTGTGTGACTTTTTTTTTAACCTAATAGGCCGTAGATAGAGAGCTTGATTGAGAAGGTTCATTCTAAGCAGTGATGCATTCAGCTGGAATATCACTCTGAAGCAAGTTCTCCTTGTTTCCTTCATTTTTGTTGTAAACTCTGAATTTTGCTGTTTGTAGTTATGCATTAAATTCCATGCCACTTCACTGATTAGATTTGGTCACTTGGGTTTGTAAGGAATAAAGAAAATATATAAAATCTTAGTGATAATGGATCTTTGACCGGTATGGAGCCAATATTGTTTTCTTGTTTTATTACAGGGAAATATTGATGCAGTATTTTATGCTAAACTTCATCACATTTTGTACCTTGTTCTCCAATGTGATCCTCCTTGGAAGTCCCCATCTATGTTGAAGTATTATCTGGATCTTCTTCAGTGTCCAATCTGTAAGAAAGGCACATGGTCCTTGATAGAGATGCTTGTAAGGTAAGAAAATTTAATGAGATGTGGGATGCAATAATTGTTATGTTGTACCATACTCAGGGAGGGGGGAGGAGGGTTGAAATTCTATTGTATCAAAGTCACATTTTCACCAGGACAAGTTAACTATATGTGAAGGTCTAGAATTGTAACTGAGATTTGGACTTTATGTTTCAGTAAGTGGCAGAGGGGTGTTTTTGGAAAGGAAAAAATGTACATTTTCTTGTCCTGCTCCTTTTTTTTTAAAATGATTTATTTATTTTATTTTTTAAGCTTTCCACAGATTAGAATCATCTATGTATTATTGCTGTTCTGGAATGTAAGTTTATGTATACACACGCATCTATATCTGCAGTTACAAAGCAAATTCCAGTCTTAACCAAACATGAAGCTTTATGTTATATTTTGATTTCAATCATTAGCTTTACTATCTTGTTCAGGAAGTCTGGTTATATCCTATGCCTCTACAAATACAAGACTTAGTAGATAGGAGCTGTTTGGGTAGTTGGTCTATGCTTTAGCTTGAGAACTCATTTTTTGTAATTTACATCAGCAGAAATTAATTCTTCCATTCATTTGGAAGAGAAGCTGTGCTTCTTACTGCTGTCATAAAATCTTAACTAACATTTAAGTACTTTGATACAACTGTGATTACAAACAGATGAATGCGTATGACTAAGCATGTCTATAGTCTTGAAGGGCGTTGAATCACTGTGCTTGAATCACTATAATTGGACACTTAATAGTTTTTATTAGGAACATGTCACATGGAATGGAGGAGAATTTATCTTTCAGATAAAGCATTTTGTCTTTTAGTACTTACTGGCAGAACGTGAATATCCAGAAGTTGTATACCTTGCAGGTTTTTTTGTACATGTGCTTTCCAATCCTCAGAATTCTAGGCAAAAACATGTGTTCACACTTTACATCAAAATTATCTCCATCAGGTTAGACAATCATGAGACTGAATCACAAACTGTAGTCCTGTGAAATAATATGTGTGAACTGTTGTCTGAACTAAGGTTTGTGGGATGTTACAATGTCTATAAAGTATTATAAGACTACCTTGTAATGAAAGGATTTGAAAGAAGTTCTGTTAAATTCAGTAATTGTACAGTACTTCAAGTAGAGGCAGAAAAATTAAATATGGTTAAATTGTTTAGTTTACATTATAATACAAAACTTTATCTACAACACAAAGCCCCAGTCACAAACATGTTGGGTTTTTTGGTTTTTTTTTTTTTGAAAATACAGCTTTAAAACCAGAAAGTTAGGCTTTAAAATGATGAATGTTGCCGGGGAGCAAGGTATTTCCTTGTCAAAATTGTCAAAAGTCAAAGCTGACTTTTTTGCCAATAGATCAGACTATGATTCCCGTCATACAAATGGATATTTTCGGTGTTTATTTTTCAGCTCTTGCCTTTATTGCAAAGCCATTTGTCATACAGTCCCAGATTCAGGGAGAGGAGATGAAGAGAAGATAGTTCACAAAACATTATTGAAGTTTTTCTTTGATATAGTAAAAGCTGAAGTAGAGTTTCTTGCAAAAAGGTGGGTTTTATAGGGTAATACTTTCTTATTACTTTTTTACAATTTCACATGTATTTCTGTGTCTATGGCAGGTTGTGTCCTGATTTTCATATGTCCCCAATAAGATACTGTTCCACAGAGATACAGTTGTTCAGCATCTCCTTTTATATTTCCCAGTTCTCAATTTGTTTATTGTAAGTTGATCATGTTTTAAGGCCTCTAAGTTTTCACAGCTTATTATTTCACCATATTGCAAGTTTCAGTAAGCATTTAGTTTTGCTCATAAAGTTGTATTTTTAGCTTTGCAATGCTTCAGTATTCATTCTTTAAGGTAGAAAAGCAGCATTTTGAACATACTGATTTTTTAAAAAAAAATTAACTGTTGTCTTTTGCTAGGGAGACTATTATCTTAGTTTGTGAAGTATAAGAAAAGTCTTGGTTTTGCTCTGCCTTTAGATAGTAAAGGCAGCCTTTACTTTATGTATCATTAGGACAATATTAGAATTCCTTCAGTCTGACTGTAATAGTCATCATTATTTTACTTACTATTCATCAGAAATTGCATCTGATCTT